TCTTTTTCTTTACTAGGATAACTGGAGAGGCGTATTCGGATTCGGATTCTTCAATAATACCGGCATCTAGTAACTCGCGTACTTTGGAGTTAACTATTTGTTGTTCAGTATGTGATAACCTATAAGGTTGACGATATATAGGTTGCTCTGTGGTAAGTTTTATTTTCATATGTAACAAATTTGAACAACCGAGATCTTGTGTACTACTTGCAAAAGTGTGTTTATATTGTGATAATAAATGTAATAAAATTGTATGCTCGTTTTCATTTAAACATCCTATACTAATGTCGGATATGGGTACACCACCTATTCTATTACAAGTGATTTGGGTCGTGACTAAAACGGAGGCAGACGGCTTGGTAGCATTTCTTAAAACGCAAACTCTATTCTCTGAGCAGTTTGGCTTATTTGGCAGAATTTGTGACGAGTTAGATAATAATGGCTTGGCTGAACTTACCTGGTTACCTGCTGCTGGTTGCTGATGCGACGCAGGTATGTGCTCGGGTTAGGATCTTGCCGGGTTCCCAGTTGATATTCGTGTCACCTGTGTTGATAATCTTCATGTAGCCCTCTTTGCCTCTGAGCAATACCGGCGTAGCCGGTAACGAGTACGAATCTCCCTGCAGTTCATAGAGGCGGGGTGCCGTGCATACATCATTTTCCTCAACGTTGTCCAGCACATTAACTTTGATGATAGAGGCACCGGGTGGTAAGGATTCTTTGTTTGATGTTACTACCTTAAATTTCTGATTTTCTTCTACTACCTGGCATTCGGCAAACGGGTTGGCATCCATTCTTAATGTAGCGGTTCCGTTAGTCACTACTAGTGAGACTTGATCAGCGTTGATGACTGGCTGGCCAATTAGCAAATGAATATCTTGCATATCTACTTCAATTACGTGCGCGGTACATTGTAGCTGAATGTTATCAATTTCGAGGTCAAAGTCTACTTCACCGCGGCTTGTTAGTAAACCACCAGAAAAGCCTTTTAAAATAGTTCTCGTAGGTCGAACGTTAAGCTGCAAAACACTAACGATGCGGTTGTTTATAACATTGACTTGGCTGCCCGTGTCTATATAAGATTTCAGAAAAATACCATTTACCTTCACAATCTTCTCCTTCAGGATCAAATTCAGGGATAAGCGAGGCTGCGCGATGGCTCTTAAAATGATTTTGTGAAAAGAATTCTTCGTTGAGTTCGTGTATCGCCTTCCCAACCTCATTTTCTATTAGGCTTTTGAGTATTTTTTTTTGCAGGTGGTGGAGGGTAGTCTTCATCTTCACTAGTCTGTTCGTGTTCTGGTTCGCACCATCCAGGCGGGCGGACTCCATGTCCCACGTCTTCGTTAGGGCGATTACGTTTCATTCCACTTCTGAATGTAACAAATGGCAATAATAACGAAACTATTTTCCTTATTAATCAATTATTTATTTTAAGAATATAATTATAATTTCTATTCGTATATAATTAGACAAGAGTTCCGACTTATTCGAGTGTACACAACGCAATGAATCCACCAAATGAGCGGGACAGGAATTTATAGTCATGGTTTGACAGTTGGATGTGACGTCGCCGACGATTAATGGCGGGCTTGGCTGACAGTTTCGGCACTAAACTGTCGTGGCGCGGCATTGGCTTGGCTTGGCTTCATATAGCTTGGCTTGGCTTAATATGGCTTGGCACGGCGTAGCGTTACATAGCTAAAAAATTATAATATACTTAAAGAGTGCGTCCATTGGTACTTTTCTTATGGTTCCTACTCCCATGAAAATACATTTTGTACTTGTTCTTCAAGAGTAGCACTCACTGCACTACGTCACACTAACTTAACTAAACAACTAAAAAGGCTTAGGGTTCTTTAGTCTTAATGATATATTCGTATCGTTGGAATATTCACTTATTCCCGTCGGGTAGGATGAGCCAGATTTAGATTTCTGAGATATTATGTTTTTATTTAGATTAATTATGCGTGTTCTGTTCAGTATGTACCTACCCTGCTTTACAATATCAGTTTCGTCACATTGATTCTCCATTTCGTTACTTATCAGTTTATTAACAAATGGCAAATGTACATTTTTTCTGAGTATGACCCAGTAACCTTCAGTGTAATCTTTCAAAATATTCATTAGACGTTTGTGTGGGCTTATAGAGACACGTGCTCAAAAAAGTAATAAATGAGAATTACAAATCATTTTAACACATAAAAATAGATGTTTGTTAAGCTTTTATTAGGTATATGAAATCATTCAGATTTTAATATTTATTAATGCTTACAGTAAAAAATAAATATATTATAAGTAATGCAATTAAAATATTTACAACATTTACACTATTTACATACAATAATTTCAATTCAAAATTTCAATTTTTAAAGCTAAGCTAATAAAAGGTGCAAGAAAGTGAAAAATAAGGGAGGAAATTCTAGTATCTAGTACAAAAATAAAAATAAATTAAAAATTAAATAAAATTAAGTTAGAATATTTACAACATTAACACTATCTACATACAAGCATCAAAAAATTTCTCCGCATCATCGCCTACTGGTAGCGTTCCCAGAAGACTGGCAGCATTGCCACGTTGAATGGCAATGCTAATTCTCTGTGCTAGAAAAAGACCAGCCTTCTGATCACGAGAAGTGTCAATCAGTAGTTTAGCTAGCTGTTTATATATAGTACGAGCACTTGGACCCCATGACCCTAAAGTTTCGACCCAAACGGTTCAATAATGTAATTTCCTACTAATTTCTGATATTTATGCCGTTTGAGGGTTTCTGCAGATGCAGCAGCAGCGCTGGCGCAACCAGCAGTGCTTGGCAAAGGTGATGGCGCAAGGGTGTCGACGCAGGTTGCGTCCCACACCAAAGGCTTACCCATCTTCCATGGCAGTAACGACATACCGTCCGGTCTCTTCCCATCATCTCGAACCAGACCATTGGGTTCACGTACAGCTGGTACGCCGGCGGTAACAAGAGCCCGACGGATAATGTCGTTAATATTGGCATGTCGAGATATACGGCCAACGCTTCTGCTACAAGAAAGGCCATGATGTCCAAGACTGTCAACAGCTTCTCCGCAGTGACAAAGATGCGGAGAAACACAAGGCGCACCAAAACGAAGACAAGTGGCAAGGCGAAATGTAATATCGTAGAACAAAGTGCCTATGTTGGGCGATGGAAGTGCCTGAATCCATAAGCCTGATTCCCATTCTCCCACAGCTAACAAACGAGCGCGCTCAGCAAGATTTATTGCTGTATTGATCAATGTTTTTTGTTTTAAAATACATAGTGGCGCGTCCCATTGTCTCTGAGAGGATGGATTAACAGGTAATATTGTATTGGGACAAGCTATCCGCCAGGCATCAATGGCGTCGGCCTTGCAAGACACTTCAGAATCAACCAGTGTGCTTATTAGAATTTTCCTGGTTAACTCTTCTGTGCCATGGACCGAAGACAGAAATGCTGAAAGGCTGACATCTACAATTTTGCGTACTCCAAGACCACCCAGACGAACTGGTAAGGATGCTTGGAGCCAGGTTTGATCATTAAAAGCTATATTCAACACTTCACTGAGAGTGTTTTGAATAATTTTGACAACTTTTTCTAAAAGTGATGGGTGTTTCCAAAGTGGGGATGACCGAAGTGCATGTATAAATTTAGGTACAAAAAGACAAAAACGGAGTATAGTAAAAGCCGAATGGACATTAATTTTAAGTAAAAGATCCTAAAAATCACCAAAAATTTTAATTTTGTCTTCTATAAAAGATTGAAAACCATCTTCCAAGACTGTACATCCAAGAAGGCGAAGAGATTTTTTTTCTAAAAGTTTAATGTTGGGTGCTAATGAATTGAATTTTTGTACAGTCGCGAGTCTGTCTGTATTGTCACAAATAAAAATTTCGCATTTGTCAGAGTTGAGTTCTAAGCCAATGGATCTAAATTTATCTTTTAAGCTAAGCTTTTATTTTATGTTTGTTACCTACCTAAGAACTCCTTCATTTGTGAACCGATTTGGCAAATTCTTTTTTATTTGAAAAAGTAATCTTCCCGTTTGGTCCTATTTAAATTTAAAGAAAAAAAATTCACCCCTAATGGTGGAATAAAATGGAAAATAATGGTAGTAGAGGGCCCCTTTTTTTATGGGGTGGTTATGTCGGACTCGAACCGACCAAAAACCAAACGCCGTCTCCAGTTACTAGCAGCCGTGGAACCAGGTACAACCTAGAAAGGAAAGCCCTACTGGTACCCCGACGTACTACGGTTCATCAATGGCTTGCTTGTGGAGGAGGGAGGTCGTTCTCCGACCTCCGGCGCCTGAGTCGTCTGCAGTACGGCGGGTCGGCAAAGTTCTAAAAATCTTCTGGTCCCGCTGCACAATTTCCTTCGCAAGCATAACTTGCTCGCAGAAGGAGATGGCGGAGTTCCACGCACTCTCGATGATACGGAGATCATGGCTGCAATCGTGCTACCGAGCGAGAGAACCCGCACCCCGAGGGCCGCCACGAGGCCACGCCTCTTATCCACCCACGCCGTGCATTCTGCCAGCGTGTAGAGGGCTTACTCTATAGTCCGGCCATCGCAATGGTGGCACTCAATCGTTGGCTCCTTGTGGCTCAGACACAGGTGATCTCCGAAGCATCCTTTTCCGGTGATCACCAGGCGCCAGCCGGTATTAGAGGATTCCGTGATGCCTCTCGAGCCAATCGTCTATAACGAGTCTTACCGCCGTGATAACGGCGTGGCCAACTAGTAAAAGGCCTATGTGAAACGTAAACCTTAAACAGCTTGTGTTTATAACATCTGGAGGTTAAGCCAATAAGCCATCGCATTGGCAATACCTTCAGCACATTATTAATTAATAATTTTGTATAATGATGTAACAAAAATTAATATAGTCATTTTGTTAACTTGGTTAGTAGTTAGGTAATAAGTACAGACATAATAAGATGTAAAATAAAACAATCTCAGCAACTACTATTTACTTTTTTATTTGCTTGTCTGTTTTCAATTTTTAACTTCAAGGTTTTCGTTCTCTTTTTTTACAATTTTATTGACAGGCAACAAAACTAAACCACTAAGTATAAGAACTGTTCCAGCCGCATAAAATGATACAGAATAACCAAATGTTTGTTTAAGTATACCGACCATTGGTGAACCTAATAAGCTTCCGAAACCTTGAGACATTAACATCATTCCAGTTGCATTTGTTAACTTCTCTAAACCATAACAATCAACTAGTACCAAACTTCTCAAACCTGTAATACTGGAAATAAATATTCCAAAAATTACACAGCAAAAATATTGATAATAAACATCAAATAAAAAGTTAAACGCTATCGTTCCTACTCCTGAAAATACACATGAAATTATATACAATTTTAAAGGCTTAAATTTAGAAGCCATGAGACCAGCGAATATTCTTCCTACTGCATTGAAAAACCCAATAACACTCACAAACAAATTACAATGTTTCTCATCTATACCTTCACTTTTAGCTCGATCTGGAAGAAACACGTAAGGTGTTAATAATCCCATGAATATCAGAACTGCACTACAGCACAATAATAAAAAGGAACAACGTTTTAATAGTTGTGGATCCATCATAGTAGCTAAAACTCTTCTTACAGCAGTTGTACATAAACCATTATGTTCTTCCAAATCAGCTATAGACACTACTCGCGATACAGCCATTTGATATTCTAAGCCTGTTCTTTCTTCTGGGTTTACTGCCGCAACACTCTTTTGGTACACTGGTAATTCTTCTATATGACCCGTGTAAAAGGCATCGTCTCGATACATAGGTCGGGATTCATTTACGTGTTTCTCCCATATACAACAAAAACACTTAGCCCACCATTTTGTTGGGGGTACTTGCTCCGCTTCTTCTGCGATTTCGATATGAATCTTATCTTTATTAGTAACTGAATACATCCGTGATACCATTGCTTGTACTTGTTTTTGACTGGCACTTCCTGCAACATTTCGTACTGATATTGTAAGTTTGGATATAGCTTGTGTCGAAGTACCAGCTTTATTCACTGATTTCATGTTAACTCCTTCTTGTACCACTGAGGCGGCAGTAGGAAAGTTTCGGTTAGATACAGCAGAAAACAGACGTTCCGCAGCAGTGGGCCCTAGGCCTTCTTTGATCTTTGATTTAGACAAAACTCTCGTTTGATTTAAACTTGGCAAGTAAGTCACAGTACGAGTAGGATCGTCCGTATCTGTTGTCTGGGTTAAGGTTAGGACGACTAAAGGCCGATATACCATGCCTATGAAGTATAAAGTGCCAAATAATCCTGAGTGGAGTAGTGTAACAATCCGCCATCCTGCTATGTTGACAAGGTATGAGTTAACACTAAACATAATCATTATCCCCATGCTTGAGCCCAGGCCTGATATTGCTAACGCAATGGCTCGAAGGCGTTCAAAATAAAAACCTACTACGACAGCAGAAGGCACAAGCACAAGACAACCTCCAAATCCAGACACTACTCCATAAAAAAACACAAGCGCCGAGTAACTGGTCGCATAGTAGGAACAAAGAAAAGCACTGGAAAGTATTATAGAACCAGACATTGTACATGCTCGAAATCCAAATCTATTTACAAGTGCTGATACTAAAGGACCGCAAATAAGATACAAGGCCACAGTTATAGAATTTATTAAGGCAACTAGAGTGCCATCAATTCCTAAATCATCGGTCATATCTTTGAATATACTGCCGAAAGTGAAGAAGACTCCATCCAGGATGAAAGTACACGCAAAACTTCCAAAAACCACTACCCAACCCCAGCCACCTTCGGGAGGTACGGATACTTCAGCGGTTATTTCAGTCTCTTCGGCTCCTTCAGGGTGATCAACATTAAAAGGGTTCGATTTACTTGGGATAACCAGAATACTCTTCGTTTTTTGATGCTGTTTGTTTGACGCAGGTTTATTATGTGACATTATATCTATTGATTACAACACTTAATTTATTAAATAAAAAATCTGAAGACATAATAAACTAATCTTACAGTTAGAAATAAATATACACACTGCACTATTAGGAGTTAAGACAGACGTCAAAGGCATAAACTAAAATATAATCCTGAAAATAGACTGGCAACTTATATTCTTAAGCTCAGCGCCTCTTTATGGGAAGCAAGGAACTAACTGACTATCCCAATATTATTATAAAAGCGAAAGTTTGTAAGGATGGAAGGACGATATGTGTGAGAAGTTTTTATGGACATTTTTTACTCAGTCGCGCCACAACGGCTGAATTAGCACAGAAATAAATTACATTCTGAATTCGTTCTCCATCGTATACATTAAGTCCGAAAAAAAATCGATTTTTTTGGACTAATACCGGCCACAACTTTCCGCCATCGTTCTACGCTCAAAATTTTCTTGCCCATCACTTCGATAATAATTGGCACTCCACCACCACTGTGCATTTTTCAAGACACTTTTTTGTTGAAAGGAAACGGCAAACCAAACTAGTACAGCCTACTTGGTGATTGTCGTTGACTAGAAGACTCATGTGTGACAAGGCAGTGTTGGGCAGTGTAGCCTAGTAACGTTTTGTTTAAAATTACCTGTCAAAAAAAAAATACAATCGAGTCCTATACTAAAACAATTTCGGGTTTTTGTTGTACCTAAATTAGCATTTTATCGAGGCTTTCCATATTAGTATAGAGGTTACAACTACAAGAGGTTATGGGTGTACATTAGTTGTACTACTAACATGGAGACTTCGACTTACAAGATTGTACCTCTCGAAGGCAAAGCAAATTGGGACACATGGAAGTACAAAATGCTGATCGTACTCAAGAGCATACCTCACGCTCTTGATGTAATAGAAGGCAAGCTTACGTCGTCTTCTACAAATGGAGAAAGTGAAGCTAGCGGTGGAACTGCAACCTCAGAGTTTGCGAAGGCTGACTCAAGTACTCTTTTCTTCATCACAAACAACATGACCGACGAAATTTTACGCAAAGTAATGAGATTCACGTCTGCTAGAGAAATGTGGTTAGAACTTCATCGAATGTTCGACGGAACCAATGAAGACAGGACTTTCCAGCTATGTATGAGTTTCTTTGGATTAAAAAAGGATCCAGGTGACGACGCAGCAACTCATATGACGAAATTGAAAAATGTTTGGACCTCATTGAATAAAGAGCTCGGCGAAGATAAAAAACATCCAGATCTTCTTCTAATTTCTTGCAAATTCTCACTCTTGACACACTTGGGGTAGAATACAGTCAGTATAAAAGTGGATGGTTGATGTGTCCGACGTCCGAAAGAACTATCGACAATCTAACCAATCGCCTGTGCGTTTTCGAAAGGAACTTGATGGTGTCTATCATGCCGGCAGAGCAAGAGGCTTTACCAACGACAAACACACAGAATGCGGCCAAGAAGAAGAGCAAGGATAGCAGAATTAAATGTAATTACTGTTTGAAGACAGGCCATCGCGTGTTAGACTGCAGGCAGTGGTTAGCAGACGGCAAACCCCCAAAGAGCAGTAACCCGCCTTCCTCTTCATCGTCCCGCAAGCAAGAATCTCAAGTTGCAGAAGTATTGACATCAGAACATGAAGTATTTTCGACTTCATCAGATACAGTGAACTGGTTCGTAGATAACGGCGCAACGTGTCACGTCACCAATCGCGGCGATCTATTCCAGACCTTCCAATCATTCGACGAGATGCACACGGTCTACACCACTAATGGAAATGCATTGCAAGCCAAAGGCAAGGGAGATATCAACATTAAATCGAAGGTACGAGAAAAAGTCTACGAGTTAACGCTGAAGGACGTATGGTACGTGCCAGAGATCAAGAAAAACCTTTTCTCGGTCCTAACAGCGCATGACTGCAGCCCTACATCTAGATTTGAATCAACACCCACCAGATGCACACTGTCATCATCATCATCATCAACAGCCTTTAATAGTCCACTGCTGGACATAAGCCTCTCCTTAGAAAGGAGGTTTGTGCCTTCTATACCACGCTGGCCAGACGGGTTGGTATAGGGTTTGTGTCAAGTTTTCCTTCTCTCTGCAGTGTTGTTGTTCTACGTAGTTTTTTCCTTTAGTTGACTCTTACAACACCCACGGGATGAATAGGGGTGGTGACAATCTGTATTCTTAATCCGTCACCACACTGTCAACGCATGGCAAAGTGAAACTAAGGGGTGTACGCGGCCTGAGCGGGGGCCTATTCAACCTTGATGTTGAGAGCGTCGTTCCGAAGCAAGTGAATATGCTTACGAAAACCCAGCTGTATCACGAACGTCTCGTACATCAGAATAAGCGTCATGTACGAACATTTGTAAAACGGGAGTTAGGAGTAGAGCTTCCTCAAGACGAAAGCATCTGCGAAAGCTACATACTCGGCAAGTTCATCGTTTTAAGTTTGATACTCGACATAGAGCTTCATGACCCGGCGAACTTGTAGACAGCGACGTATGCGGACCGTTCCCTAACTCATTTACAAATCTGGGCTATTTTGTGCTGTTCAAGGATGACTCACCGGCTATCGCTGTCTACTTTCTGAAAGTCAAGTCAGAGGTGAAACAGAAGATGCAGGAATTCATCACCGAAGCACGAAATACTGGTCATACGATCGAAACGCTCCTGAGTAACAATGGCGGCGAGTTTGATAACAAGGAGGTGCGTGAGATCCTCGCCACGCATGGCATCAAACAGCGGCTGACCATGCCCTATACTCCAGAGCAGAACGGATGCGCCGAGAGAGAAAATAGAACCTTAGTAGAGGCTACAAGGACTATTATGCACAGCGGGGGTTTCGAACAGAAACTTTGGGCAGAGATAGTTAATGCGGCTACCTACGTTCTCAACCGAACTGGTCCATCCCGTACGGAGAACAAAGCGCCCTACGAACTATGGCATGGAAAGAAACCAAAGATAGCTCACCTACGCATCTTGGGCTGCAGAGCCTACGTCCATGTCCCCAAACAGAAACGGAAGAAACTCTCCATGAAAACTCTCAAAGGAAGGTTGATCGGATACGACAATGATGATGGCTATCGTATCTGGTGCGCCGACAACATACTGGATAGATCGAGAGATATAACTTTCGACAAAAAACCGCTTCATCACACATCAACAGCCTATACTAGTCCACTGCTGGACATAGGCCTCTCCTTAGAAAGGAAAAACATAAACATCTTAGAAAAACCGCTTGATCGAACACAATTCGACAAAGTTGTACCTAAGGCAACAGAAAAAGAAACACCATTCAACGAATTCGAGTTGAAAGTATCTTTTAATCAAGAGCGCACTGAAGTTCATCAAGATCCAACCCCAAGCCATCAACGCGAGCAAACGGAACCTGATCTGCAAGATGAAGAATCTGCACCGCAACTTCATAAAGACAGTCCTGCTCCTGATTCTATAGAGGAAAACCCAGATGGTGAACAGTCAAGACCACCTAGTGTAACGTGGTACGACGTTGATCCAGGCGATTCATCTGACTCCGAATATGAAGCAGCAGAGCCGATATACAATCTAAGAGATAGAAGCACCAATCATTCTCCTCAGAAGTACAAAGATTGTCGTGCACTTACCATCATCAATACATCAACAACAATAGGTCAAATAAAGTAGTTAAGAGAGTAGAAGCAATTTTTAAAAATAATTTTACTCACACTAGACATGAAAATAGTAACAAAAAACCTGAGGAATTTTTGGACACTCTTAAACAAAAGTTAGCACTTAAAGTTAATAGGCTTAGAAGATACAAGAAGGCACAACAACGCAAAAAAGACAACACAATATTGACACAAATGAAAAAATGTTTTACAGAAATATACATAAACTCCAAACCGACTCACCAGCAGAAACTCACATAGTTACACCTACAAAAGAAGATTTGGAAATATTTTGGTCTAGCATATGGGAAGAAAAAGTTCAACACAACGATAGAGCAGGTTGGATAACAGGAGAAACAAACATTTAAAGCGATTGAAGAAATGGAATTTATAGAGTTCACAAAAACTGACATTACAGATATAACAGCTAGATTACCTAATTGGAAGTCACCAGGAATAGATAAAATACACAATTTTTGGTATAAGAAGCTAACGTCTTTACATAAATACATGGCAAAAAACTTAACAGAGATCATTTTAGGACAACAGAATATACCGGAATTTATTGAAACAGGAATAACGTACATGATACCTAAAACTAAATACACACCACAGCCTTCCCAATACAGACCAATTACATGCCTACCTACTATTTACAAAATTTTAACATCAGCAATCTCTGTTAAAATTAACTCACATATTAACAACCATAACATAATAGCCGAAGAACAGAAGGGGTGTAGACGGAGCCACATGGGATGTAAAGAGCAGTTAATTATAGACTCCACTATTCACAAACATGCCAACATAAAACATAAAAATCTACATTTTACCTGCATAGATTACCAAAAAGCATTTGACAGCATACCACATTCTTGGTTAATAGAGGTTTTAGAGATATATAAAGTTAACTCTAAAATAATACATTTTTTGCGCAGTATAATGACACACTCTTGCTCATTAGTGTAGTCTTCCACTACATTGCAACTAAACAATGGCCGTAATACTCTTACAACTCGACAGATACAAATCAGGAAGGGTATATACCAAGGAGATTCCCTTAGCCCATTGTGGTTCTGCCTCGCTCTGAATCCCTTATCTCGTAATGTCGTAATTAAGCAATGCAATTACGACAAAGACTGCGTCCTATTATTTAGGAATGGAATCAATCAATGCAAAGACGGCACGATTGTGATCCACCAGGAAGCATATACCAAGAAGGTACTTGATCGCTTCAACATGGCTAACAGTAATCCTGTCTCAACGCCGATTGATGCCGCAGAACAGTCGTCTGCAACACAATCAGATGAAGAGAAAGGACACAACGAGGAGACTAACTTTCCTTATCGT